CCTCAAAAGCCGGGGGAAGGCACGGTGGCGGGGAGGGCACGGTGGCAGGGAAGAGCTCAGCTGGTGCCTGCTGGCAAAGGCATGCGGTGTGTTTTGGGGATGGCAGGGTTGAACTTGGTAGTCGTGGAACGTTTTGCCATGGTTATGTTTGCAAAATTACATAACATTATATGAAATAAATATATATAATAAAATTATATTAAAAACTTTGTTTTGTGAAGGAAACTATACTGTGCATATGTGCATAAGATACAGATAACGTCATTTTTCCATTTGTATACCTAACTACTGTTTTCCTTCCTTTTAAATGCTGGAATTCTGCAAACAATGTGGTTGTTGCTTAGCGATCAGGACACTTTTCTGGAAATAAAGTTTCTTAGTTTTCCAATTCCCAAGAGCATTTTTTCCCGCCAGCTCTCTTTTATTTGTCTTTTTTTTTTTCTTTTGTGCAAAGAAGGAAATTAAACAGAACACAAGGTAGGCTGCGTTACCCACTCAAATGCAGCAAGGCTGTAACAGTAGGGAACCAGTATATATGTGCCTACATTGTGGGAAGAATTTCTTTCGAAGAGTTATTGCCAGTGAGGTGTTGTCACATCGCAGTGTAAGAGAAGATGCTGGAAAGCACCAAAGTGATGAGGATGAATTGCATCACAGCAGTGCCTTACCTTAGTGTCTTTTCTAAATCAGAAGAGTTCATCATTGATAGCACGATGCATAGACGCAATATGCGACTCTGGTATGCTTACTTGAGTCACTACAAATATTTGTTTTTGGCCAACGCATGGTAAAATCTATCACTTGTGTCTCTCTCTTTGCCTCAATGAAAGAGATTAGGTTATAGTTTCCATGTAATAGCAATATCCAAATACCTTGTTATGCCTGCGCCTGAGGACTCCTGTTGTATAAGCTGATGTCTCTATGAGACTGCAGTGTTATAACGTGCTTTCAGTCAGAGTGTGAGGGACAACACAGTCAGTGATAAGGTGGAGATGTGACAATATCTGCTAAAAGCGAAGCGTCTTTGACATTGGTTTTGTTTAAATTCTCAAATGCAATTCTGTTTAGAAGATATTTTCCGAGCAATGGCTAGCTGTCAAAGGAAAAATTTAACACTAGCCCCTGCCGAAGCCTGCAGAATTGTTCTTTTGTTTGTAAATAGGTGCGTGTGCCTGTGCCCGTGAAGGAGCTGGAAGGGGAGCTGTTTGGGAATTAGGCTTGTTGTTGAGAACACAGTGAAGCCTTAATGATAAAGAGTTGCTGATTTCTTCAAGGATCTTTTTGTCTCTCTCAGGAGTGATGGGATTGTACTTATCCTTGGGAAAGCAACATCTGTAACCTATGAGGCTGTCAGAGACATTCCTCTACTGAACACCTAACAAGAGGTGCACCATTTTGGGTCCTGGGTAATTCCTATGACGTGCTGAGCAACCTTCATGAAGGGAAGCGTATGGTTTTGTTGCTGGAAGACTAAATACAGACAGGTTGTCAGGTGGACATGAGGCTCAGTCTGTGGGCAAAGATCAGCTTACCAGAGCGTTGCATGTCTGAGAGCGCAAAGAGCTATGCCATGTATAGGGGGAGATAAAACACCCTCTGTAAGCGACACCGATGCCATAGTTTTGGTATAACTGCATCCATCGTGGGTGTCCCTGCTAGCACAGTGCATATCCTGCTGTGCCTGAGAAATCAGTTGCGTGGCTATGACAGACTGGCACATCTAGTGGAGAGCTAAAGTGGGGTAATAGGAAAGGTTGCCTCCCTCATCTCTGCTCCTCCTCACTTCCGGAGGATACCAGAATAGCACATTGATGAACCTCACATTAACAACTCCTTGAGTTGTAGCCCAGGCCCGATTAAATCAATTAAATGGTAAACTGAGGTGGGTGCTTCATTTGTGATTCTTCAGCTATCTCAGCCGTGGGGCAGCCCTTGCTGAGAGAATGGTGAAACTGGGAGGTGTGGTTTATAGCCTTCTCAGTGGTTCAGTCTCCTTTACCAACAAATGCCAGGCTGCAGGTATTGTTTGGGTGGGTTTGAGAGATTAAGCTAGGAGGAACCATTCTGTGTGGTTCTGGTTTGGTTTGGGTTCAGAGAAAGTCTTTCCTTAGGTCCAAGCACAGACTAGATGGCTTGCTTGATTATTCTTTTCATTAAGGCAGCTACTGTGTGTTGTGTGTCTATACTGTTGAAAAGGAAAGCAGGACTCTACCTTTCTAGAATCACAGCATCATAGAAAGATTT